GTCTCAGCTTTCATCTAACTCCGTTCTTGAGATTAAGGAAGGACAGACATACAAATAACAATATGAATTTATTGGTCTACAATTTTTCAAATTGCAACCCAGTTATAAAGCTACATTAGTCTTGACTGACTGATCCATTGGTGTAAAATGTTTGAATATAATCAGACTTTTTACAGAAAAACAAAATGATACAGTTGAAAAGTATGCTACCAGAAAAATTCAAATTTCAATAGAAAAATATTTTAGGCCCTATGATATATCAAAATGTAACCCTTAATATGTCATAGTACAAACAACCCTATTTTAAATAATGTTTTATCATTATTAATTTGCTCCATATTATTTTAAACAGTAGCAATTTCTTTTGTTTTACTACTGATTATTCTTTATTAATTTTTTAATTATTATTATTATTATTATTTAATTAATACGCATAAAACTAGTATTTATGCGCATAAAACTAGTATTTATGTAAAGAATTAATAACATCTGTATTCTGTTATCTGAATCTAATCTATTCCTGAAAATAATTCAACTATTGATAATTCAGTTATTAGGAAGTGTTTTTCATTTTCTCTTAAGGGAAAGTTCTAGCCTGCTTCTACTCCATCCAAATAATACCAACAAATTTCCCTAAATGACACTAAAACATGGCAAAAAGTTATTTACTTTTCAATCTGTGATTCTGGAAAAATATTAAAACATTACAAACTCCAAATATCTTGTTAATAAATACTGTTTTTACGCATGAATAGGCCACATGTGTATATAAAGCCAGACCTCATTAATGAAGTGATATATTTGAAAATAAATAAAAATCTTAAAATTGTGCTGAGGGATGTAAAGGCACAAGTATGCAGAAATATGGCAACACTGCAAATTTCAAACAGGAATGAAGTTATAGTTAATTAATTCTTATCATTGCATGCTTACTCAGTGCATGTTAAACATGGATTGAGTGAAAGTGAATTACCCAGCAAAGTTTAAATTGCAAGTGGTGCATTATGCCCAAGAAAATGAAAATCGAGCAACAGGAAGGAAGTTTAAATCCATCATCACACTTTTTTTTGTATAGCAATGGATTCAAAAAAAGGATGCTCTCAAGAAAACATCACAAAATTGGCAATTGTTCCGTGGAAAGACAGCAAAATATCCTGACCTGGAAGCAAATCTATTGAGATATACCCATTGAGAACATAACCCTAAGTTTCAAATGAAAACATTGATTATAATTTTTATAGTCCTAAAACATTATTGCTTAGTTGAGGCCTCAGACAACTCCCTTCTTTTCTTCTTTTTTGCTTTTCCTTCATGCCTTTTGCCCCTTCTTATTTCTCACTCCCTGGTGGCCTAAAGCCTCCAAATAATCTTGCTACAAGTCCTAAGGTATGTAAAGACAATTACATATCTTATAAAATATGTAAAGACAATTACATACAATTAATGATAATAAATTGCTTTAAAATTTTAACTTGTTTTTTTTAAGTTATTCATTATTTGAGATAATGAATGAACTGCACCCTAATGTTGGAAAAAATTTAGGGTAAAAAAGTGTGGCCTATACAATGAGCAAAAGATACATTTGTAAGCAGTAACACAAAAAATAAATTTGTATTGTATTAAGTATTGTATATGAACTGTTTACTTTAATATGTAACAGACGGTAATAAAAATGTTATAATGATACTGTAAAGTACATTTTACATTAAAATATTGCTGCATACAAATCAACAGCAATGAAAATAAATCAATGAGGTACTAAACTGCACAGTCATGAAATTCTAAAATGTTCATTTTATGAAAATAAGTAATTTTTTTTTAATCTTTAAAAATTCTTTCAGGACATACTTGTTTAATCAGAAACTTATCTACTCTAATTTTTCTAATTTTAACAGTACAGATTTTTAAAGATTTAGAAAATTTTTTTACTGATTCAGCAACTTGAAAACATTCTTAGCAAAGTTTTTAAGAACATAATGATAATTTAAAATAAGTATTGTTTGAATCATTTTCTTGTTAATTTGTATCATTATCATACTATAATTATTCATTTATGTTATTTTAATTGAATTTTATGTTTTGAAGATTCTCCTCTGTACCTGAAATTCTGCTAGTGCGATGAACAATAAATGTACTTTTGTGTGATACTAAAACTCATTTAATTCCAAAAATGTGCTCATTTGGGCTAATTCTTGGAATATTTATTAGCTTTACACACATGTATATAGAGTCCATCAGAAATACTTGACTGTTTTTTAAATTTGTTTTTTTTTCCCTGCACTGGATGTCACTATAATACTAACCACCATTGCATTTCTTGTGCTTTGCAGTTCAGTTGAGATGGAGTGCTGGTTTGTGTAAGATTGCACTGCAGCAGTAGAGATGTTTATAACAACAGAGTCAATCATAGCAACTCAACATAGTTTCTAACTATACTTTGGTAGACAGGATAAATCTAGTTGAAATATTATGTTACTATGGGTGTCAAAACAGCATCAAGAAGGAAGTGTGAAGGATACGAAACCTCAGGATATCTTCATTAGATTCGCATACCAGAAAACACAAATCATGTAAGAGATACCATCCTTCACAATCTGCATTACTATCTTTACAAATTACAGATTGTCCAACAACTTAGTGAACAGAACAAGGAAAACAGACTTCAGTTAAGTCATCATTACTGGCAAGATTAAAATAACTCATTAATTGCAAAGTGACAGACCCTGTATACATATACAAATATCAATCAAAAATCCAGAATTTAATAAAACAACAATCAAAATTATGTTTAAAAGGAGGATTTACTTGTAGCTTAGATAGTATAACTGATAATGAGTTTTGTATATGAGAACAAGTTGTTTGGACTTTGTTTTTAAATGTTGAAGTCTGAAAATACTAGAAAGTCTGTTTTTATATTACTGTTATGATTATTATATATAAGTATATGAACTATAATAAAGCAGTTTGAAGTTTTGAATGTAGAGAAATTATAGTTTAGGTATTTTAAGCTTTAAAAAGAATCTTGTTCTGTGTAATCTATTTTCTAAATTTTTCTAGACTGATTGATTAAAATTCAAATTATTTTAATTAATAGAGCTATTATGAGATGATGCTGTTGCTTACCTTTAGTATCAAATCTGCCCATAAATTAATTTTTATTTAGAATAAAATTATCTCCTTAAAAATCCTTTATTTGACTAAATTCAAGATTTGTGACTTTATGTAGGAAAAATAAATAATTATACAAACTTTCAAACATCTAGCTCTAAGTTCTTCTCTTTATATTATTTCTCTAATACAAGTTTCAATAGTTAAATAGTAAAACAATTTTCAAATAACAATTTCTTTATATTTATTAATTAAACTGAAAAATTGTTGTAAGTGAAAAACATCAATTATATCATATCAAATAAGACTATTACTAATATATAAGGCTTAGAAATATATTTGATTTTTTTTAACCAAAATATTTGATATTTGATTATTTTTTATTCACTACTATCACTACATGCTACATACAATATAATTTAACAATTTAGGACTATTCATTTGCATCATTTTCAATTTCAATGGTTTCTGCATTGTATTTTTGGGAAATAAGTTACTCCAATTTGGCTGAGAATTGTAGTGTACATCTATGTATTTAGAGAAATTTTATAGTTTAAAACACTGTTCATTAACTCAATATATAATTTGTAACAAGAAAAAAGTGAACACAACCTTTACAGTCATCATATAACTGTGCTAATAAAATAAATGAATTACACTTCATGCTTACATTTAACTATGTAAAGTAAATACACTTAAGTGTTTAAGTGTTGTGGCATTACTATTTACAACTATTTAGAGGATAAAAAGTGCTCGCTAGTACTTTCAGTAGCCTAAAGCTACATCTTCAGGCGAATATCAAATACAAATATTTTTCCAACAATTAGGTTTCAAACAAACTTATGAAAATAAGTGGTGCACATGGATGGAATACAGAAATTGAATTTAAAATAAAAGATGTTCTAAAGTGTGAAAAGCATTATGAATGTTGTTATATCCCCAAATATATTAAATAAGCAATTGAGCGAACAGTATGAACATGCAATAAAAGAGATANATTGCACCATCTGATTTTTGAATTTTTGTATTAAATAATATATATATTTTTATGTTGTTTTTATTTCAAAATAAGTTGGCAATTTATTTTCAAATAAAAAACTATTTAATTGTTTGAACCAGAATATTTTATTTTTTGATGATTCAAATTTTGAAATATGGCGTCCAATCTGACTAGTTTAATTGCAAAATAGTTTTTGCTTTTAATTTTGGCATGCTAGTTGATTAATTTTGAAATCAACATTGCAAAAAAAAAATTTATTGAAAATTAAACATTTGAATCAAAACCTTGCCTATATTTTTCTTTTTGAGCGTAAATATAGATTATTACATTTATATACCATCGGTACTTTTGCTATTGGAACAAAATACATACTCAACTTACATTGTTTCTTTAACAACAATTAAATAATACTTACAATATGGTACCTTAAAATTAAATAATTTTAATACATAATATGTATACTTTATGATAACTGGAACAACAAAATTAATTAAGGTGTCGTATCTAGAACAAACAGCATTATTATATGAATTTCAAGGAAGTCTGGAAAAACTGCAAATCTTTGTTTTTTTGTATGATATATATAATGTTAATATTCACCACATAATCATTTATTAACAAACTGTTAATGTTCTTTATTTTAAATCACACATAAAAAAATTAAATTGCTGCATGCAATAGATTTGACATTGGTTATTAGTTTTGTTGTTTTCAGCAGATTAATATATTTATATCTTAAAAGTTTCAACTTGAAACATCTGGCATAAATTGAAATTACTGCAGAGATTGTCATTACTTTTTTGAAATTTACTAACCTTCAAAATCAATTATTAAATCATGCATTTTGATGTTTTAATATCTGTTTAAAAATCACTGCAATAAAATTAATGAGACTCAACAAAAGATTCCAATTTCTGAGGCACTAGACCTTTATAAGGTATATTATATTTCTTGATTATTTGGGAGCATAGGCACTGGAGAGTGAGGTAGCGTAAAGGATATATATCCGTGAGAGCAGCATTACGAGCAAGCTGTAAAGCTGTCATTCCATCTAGATTACAAAAATCAAGATGAGCTCCGTGATTAAGAAGAGTTTTAAAAACTGTACGAGCACAAGGTTTATTCATCGCTGCTACATGCAAAGGAGTGTTGTTATCAAAATCGACTGCATTCGGGGATGCACCAACTTCCAATAATAAATCGACTACTTCCGGAGAAGGAAAAGTACAAACTGGATACCGACTTATTGATGAAGAATCCCTAAAGCAAGTCAAGTGAAGAGGTGTCCTTCCATTTCTACCACGAGGATTCATTCTTACTAGCCTATATACAGCTTTTTTCAATTCTAAATCTTGTTCGTTAATTAAATGTGGCTGTAAACGACACATTAGACCTATTAAATGAATTACAATAATTAAAGTTCTATGGAAATGACTTGAATCTCTCTCTGCAGGGGGTATTTTAGATACATGCTGCATGGCAGTATCTATTTCCTGAAGTGCCCTGTGGAAAACACCAAGTAAATCTGAAAAATTGACAGCAGGAATGCGTCTGTTACGAGCCCAAGCCTCAGACATCATAAACGAAAATAATTCTACAAAAGACAATAAACTACTTTGTGTCATAGGGCTAAGTGGTTCCAATACTTTTTGCTGAACATCTAAAGCATAAGTCCATAATCTAATGCAACGTTCAAAATTTCCTGTATCTGCATACACGGCACCCCGATAACGAATGTAATAAGATGTGTCAGGATGAGCGGGTCCAAGAATACGCTCCCTTACTAACAGGGCCTGCATGCGCATTTCATCAGGATCACAAATAAGTTCATCTAATTGACTTACTGAACGAACTTCCATGGCATTTTCATAGGCTGCTATAGGAGATGAGATGAGAGGCTTTTCTAGAGGCATATCTCCATTCTGATATCTTTCTTCCATTGCTCTTCTCCACAATTTAAGAGCACCCGTCATATCACGTTTCTTATCAACAAAAGTGGCACCAAGCAATTCAAGAGCATCAACTTTCTCTTTTTTTGTACATGTTAAGAGTGATATTAAATATTCTACTATAGGAATATGACCTGTCACAGCTGCAGCTAATAGTGGAGTCATTCCATAGGAATCAACATCCATTCTGGCACCATGACTCAATAATAATTTCATGATATCAAGACTACCAGATTCTGCACAATCATGAAGAGCTGTGTTACCTAAAAATAAAAATTATAAATTAATTATTGTCTGAAATTAATTATACCATAATTAATAAATATAAAATTTTTATATATATGATCTCTTAATTTAAGCAGTATGTTTCAAAAAATAAAAATTTAATATCTCTCACGATTGTTATGAAGAATTTAAAATATATAGGGGAGGACAGGGTAACTTCATCAATTAAATTTTCTTTCAGACAAAATAAAAGGAGACTCTCTTTAGAGGCTAGTCAGTTGAGTTTTAATGACGGCTTGTTGAGTGTGGTGTGTGTGTTGTTCTCCGACAAGCATAGTTGAAATATCAAATAAGTTGTCTGTTTCATTCAATTTCTGATAACATTTTGCTTCCATTTATATAAAATTGTCATGTTTTGTTATAATTCCATAATAACGAAAGTTGTTATTCCTGTGAGAAGGATAAAACATTAACTTATTCACATGGCCAGATCATGGCTTGGTACCCTATTTTCAGGGTTCCACTTAATGTTTCTAAATCATGACTATTGGGGCATCTTCGGTAGTGTTGCCGATCTTGTTCCTGATCGTGTTTTGCCGTGGTTTGATTTGATCGCAAACAATAAACAACAAGCAGAAGAAATAACTTGATCCCCATACAAAGCCACACTAGAAGCCAAGGCTAAAGTTAAAAAATCAGGAACTTGCAGATGGGCAATGGATTTGGAGAAATCAGATTCAAAGTTCACTAAAGAAAGGGGGCAGAAAAGTCCTAAAGAATAGTAAAATGACAATGAAAATACTTACTGCATATATTGCAATAAACAACATGGAACTACTCAAAAAAAGTGGATTATGTGAACTGTGGGCTCATGTGGCTATACAGATGTGGAAAATGAGTTGGTTCATTTTATTTATGATATGTGTAGGGCATAAACAATTTGCTGTTAAGCATATTTTGCTTCTACTGTTTGTTTGAGTTCACTAATTCATTTATATTGCTTTTAACTTGCATTAGGATGCTTTCATTCATTATCTGTTTGATTTTTTTTTGTAATTAATTTTTGTTTACATTTTCTTTACTTAAATATGCCTTCAAACTTATATTTCGTTGTTATAATATTAAATAGGTTTTTGAACTTGTATTTCTTTGTTTTAACAGTGAATTCCAATTTATACACTGTTAATAACACAAATTTATATACCTGCTTATCTTGCCCCATTACTGTTGCCGAGGTTGCCCCTGGTATGGGGAAAACTTTGGCAATTGCTATCTTTTTATAAAGTTATTATTATGATTATTTTTATTTCCAAACTGATTTTAACCAGTTCTATGGTAAGTTTACATTCTGGTTGACAATAAACAATGCTTTTCTTCAATTTATGGCAGTATTTGTTACTCAAAATTTAATTTATTCTTATCATGCCAAAGTTGCCCAGTTCTCCCCTATATATATCTCAACAATAGATACAATTTATTCAGTAATTTCTTGCTATTGAAGAAGAGATGAATAATTTTAATTAAATCATCATGTGCATTTATTTTTATAAACAGTCAAACCTCAGGTTTTGAATGCATTGCTTTTTGAACAATTTGGTTTATAAACAAACTTTTGAATGCCATATTTGCTCCAGTTGCCGTACAATAACTCAGCTGCCAAACAAGCTACTTGGCAAGATCCAGTCACCGATTAGAGAGAGAGACAGTCAACTCCATATACTTCCAGTGTTAAAAAAGATTAATGACCAAACCAATCAATGATGGGACTATCGATTCAGAAGTTAGTAGTACTGAAATTACATTGCATCATTAGATGTCACAACATTAACCGCTGATTATGCTGTTATTCAAATTAGATTTCAATGTGCATATGAGTAAGATACTTCTTCCATTTTTCAGTATGCATCGTAATTGAATTTAAGTCAAATTAATTAATAAAAACAGCGTTAACTGACAGTGTAATATAAATGACATCCACAAATTGTGATTAAAGATGCTTAACTCAAATATTAAATAACAAAAATTTATTAATATATTATTATACATTATAATATTAATATTTACTAATACTTGGTAGCCAGTTAATTAAAACTAAAATACTGTATATTTCTGCAGATAAGACGATAGTCGAATCATAAAAGAAGGCCCCCAAAATCTGGGGTCGTCTTATAAAACAGATACAAAAAAAAAAAATAAATAAATAAATAAGATTGAAATTTATATAAATTAAAACCATTATAAAAAATGGACAAACCATAATTATTTACTAGTAAAGAGTAGAGTATGTCCACAAAATAGGATAGATCATACAACGTTTTTGTGAATAGTCAAGGTCATTACCCGAATGCTTGAATCAGTGCGATTGTTGCAAACATTCACACTGATTCAGGCAGTACTGCTGCCAGATGCAAGAAGGTAAAATTTGTTTATTCGAAAAATTACGAATAGAACATAATTCCATATATGCTATACAGTATTATTATATAGATTATGGTCACTGATCTAAACTAAATTCATAGGCCGTTGATAGTTTGGGGGTTGTCTTATAGGACAGATATATGTTAAAAGTATAAAACTTTGATGAAAATTTATACCACGTCTTACCTGCGGAAATATACAGTAAATAAAATAAAAATTATAACTCTGGTTTTTATGCCAAAACTAAAACTAAAATTAAAAAAATCAAAATTAATTAATTTATTTAAATTAAAATTTAAGTCAAAGCAATTGAAACATAATATTTTGAAAAGTGTGGATAAAGTACTTGTTGTCCATCTTGATTTATTTGTTTATATTACAATCAGATAGTCAGAGCTGAATTTCTGTTTATAGAACTTTCTTGTGAAGTGATGGTTTCAATTTTGTTTAGTGATGACAGAACATTTTGCTTTTAATACTCATATATATATAAAAAATGGATATAGATATTATATTATATATCAATATATATTGCATTTTTTAGGCTTTTTAATGCATAAAATACAGCTAAAACGATTTTTTTTTAAAGTTTTGTTTTGCGGGTTGGAAACAGATTAATCTATTTATATTGTTTCTTGTGGGAAAATTTGTTTCAGTTTGAGAACAAATTGGTTTCAAACAACTTTTAGGAATGAATTAAGTTTAAAACCCTGGGGTTTGACTGTATTGATATTGAAACACATGTAATTGCATTACATATTACAATAATATGATAATTTGAGATTACTAATGATAGAGCTTAGAGATATACACAAAAAATTATTTTTCTTTCAATTTTTTAGACTAAATTCTTATATGACTAACCATATTAATAGTTTATTTTTAAAAACATATTCTAACTCATATTTATTCTAATTCATATTCATAGTTATAAATATAGTTATATTTATAACTATGAATATAATAAACTAAAAAATAAATAAACTAATAAATATACTACTTATACTCCTTAGTGTTCGGCTCTAATCATG